TTAGGTCTACCTAATAAGTAGTTATAGCAATACACGCGTCTCTCTATCTTTATATTACTTAGGGAGATATCCCTATTAAGTACTTACGCTTAAGGCAATAAGGTAGTACCTTCTCTATATTATTATTCTATTAATATTATTAAGATAGGTAGCACCTCTAAGTTAATAAACGCTGTAATAAGAGTTATTATAGTTAGCAGTAGTCGCACTTAGCACTATCTAATAAGCTCCTAGAGCCTATAGTTTATATAATAGATAAGTAGTAGGTTAGTATATACTTACACTTCCTAAGGATCTACAGTCTTTATAGAGGATAGTTAGACCTAAGCTAAACTTAATACTTTACTTAACTAGTTATTTAATAGATTTTAAATTAGTAATCTTAGCTAGAATTAGGACTAGTAGTTAGTAGTTGCTACTATAGTAAAGCTAAGGATTGTAACCTTTAGGCTTCTAAATAATAGTATAACTAGCGCTAGTATTATGCCCCTATAGGAGCTAAGGAGTTATACCTATCCTTAATAAGGCTAACAGGTAGTGTTAGTAGTAGTAGTATATAGTCTTTTAGTTTATTAAGGGTGTGGTAGTTTATAATTATAAGTATATAGGCAGGTATATTAATAAATAGTTAATTATACTAGTGCACTAGTTACACTTATAACTAGCAGGCGGAGTTAGTTAGAGTTAAAGCAGAGTGGCCTCTCTTTAGTAGCAGTCCTAGACTATAGGACTAATTATTTAGGTCTGCTAACTATAGGTTATCTACCTATCTTTAGTATTACTTAGTGCGGATTAGACTATTATAGGCGTAGTAGGGCCTAGACTACCTAAACTTAATCTTTATATAGTATTAGGGGATAACCTTATATTCTTAATTACTTATAGTCTTTCTTTCCTTTAGAGTATTTAGCAATATTTACTTGCTAGTAGTAGAGGTTCTCTTTACCTAGCTATCTCTTAAGACTTTATAATAGAGATATAATTAAAGGGGTTTCTTACTATAGATAAGCATAGGCTAGTAAATTAGGGGCGTTAGACACTATTTATAGTAGCCTTTTTAAGCGTTATAGAGACTCTTTTAACCTCTTTCTAATAGAGGTAGAACTAGCTTAGGCTACTCCTAGATAATCCGCTCTACTTAAATCCTTGCTTAGTATTAGTTTCTCCTCCTTATACCTTAGTTAGCCTTGTAGACTAAGGATATTCTAAGAAAGGTTTCTAGGCTACTATAAGACTATATCGCTACTATTCTATATAAAAGAAAGCTAGTCTAACTAGTGTAGTCTAGGTAAGACGGCCTATTAATAGTATAGTTAGCTTATTACTATCTACTATTAAAGGGCTTTATACTATAAGATATACTATCTAAGATATAAACTTGCTATATTATAATAGATGCGCAGTTCTCTATAGGATACTATATAGGAGGGTAATCTATTTCTCTTTATATAGGTTATCTAGTTACTACTAGATTTATCTATATAGGAAGGAGTAATTCTTTAATTATATAATATACTTGTTTAACACGTCCTATTACGTTACGCTTATATATAACGCGTCTATTATAAGTTTATTAATACTAAATTAAATAAAAGCTTCTACAAAGATAATCTTAACTTTAATAGCGTACTATTAAAGATAAAGAGCCTCTTCTTCTATAACTAGGCTTTCTATAGTAGAGACTACCGCATCTTGCGGTAGTTAACTAATATATATAACAGCCCTATTTTCTATCCTAAGCTAATATATATTAGTTCTATACCTAGCCTAGTAAAATATATTAACGTGTGACGTACAGTTAATAGGGTATCTAAAGGATAGATTACCCTACTTTTAGAATACTATAGCATAGTAGATAGGTTATTACCCCTAAATTTAGTAACTCGCGATATTATCCTCTTAAATAGTGTTATAGTTACTATATTAATCTATATTAATTCCTAGTCTAGCATAACTTATATACTAATCTAGGTTATATAATAACTATGTTTTAGTAAACGTAAACTATATATAGCTAATATAGGTTAGCAAGAGTGTATTCCTAGATATTTATATCTTACTCTATTAATACAACTATTGTACTCTAGTATATAGAGGAGTAGGTAAATAAAAGGATATAGCATAAATCTACGTAAGCTAATATAACTTGTTAGCGTTAGTTATAATAAGTAATAATAATTTAATTATAGTAATATATATAAATCTATATAACAATAATCTAGTATACTCTAAATTAATTCTTAACCCCTTGCACACGTACGTAATACAACACGTTAGCACACCCTCTCTACACTTCTATTACACTAATATAGCATAACTATAGTATAACAACTTATTATTTAATAACTATATTATAGAAGTATATTAGTATAAAGATGTAGCTAAAGATAATATATTATATATAATAGTAATAACACTAGTGCGCGTTATAATATAACAAGTGCACGAGTTATATATAATAATATACCCTTTCTATCTATAATAATATATTTATAATATGTTAGCTTTACTTATAACCTTATCTACTACAAACGCTGCCTTTGTTCCTAACACTATCCCGCAGTTAATATAGGATTTAAGATCCTATTTACACAAAATACTAGAACTATATAGTGTCTGCCTATAGCTAAAATTAGTAAGCAATAATCTAATTGCGGTGTAGGTAGTAATATATACGCCTAAAGTGTTTACCCTATAGATCTATATATTTATAGTTAGTAAGAAGGGTATTAACAACCTTAATAAGTGTATCTACAAGGCTATAGATATATACTTTAATATAATCTAAGACTAACTATTTAGCTATATTTCTAACTCTAAGTAGACTAATATATAGGACACTATCCTTACTAAGTATCTATTTTTTAGATATTTTAATAGAGTATAGGTATTAAAATAGCTTATATAGCAGACCTAGATATACAGGAATAAGAATTAACACTCTAAACTAAAATACAAGTATATTGTCTACCTCTTTAAATATACTAATCTTACTATTATAAAGAAGCTGTTATGCATAATTATGCTATACTAGGTGATAGTATTGCTACCCTAATTACTTAATCGTTTGCTGTCCTGTAAGGCCCTAGCCTAGAGAGGTCTATTATATGCAGAGGTCTATATAGATACTAGTGGCTAATATCTAACTTTATTTATAGCAGTTTAGGTATATACTATAACTGCGTAGTAGCCTAGTTAGGATTCTATAGTAACACTCCCTAATATTTAAACTAAGACTTATTATAGGCTATAAGTAAGCTAGTATTACCTTATCCTATTAAATATATATAAAGATAACATCTACCCTAATCTAAATATACTAGTAGTATTACTAGCTTTAAAGACTAGGGTGCCTAGGATAGTAATAGTAGCGTTTTTAGGGGTTAGCATCCTAACCTAATAGTTAGTGTGCCCCTAGCTAGCAGTATTAGATTATAACAAGTACTAGTATAGCTAGATATAAGACTATAAAAGCAAACCTATTTATATAGTATACTAGCCTAACTAAATAATTCTACTCTAGATACTTGCAAAAACACGCCTATAGAAGATAACTATAATACACTACTAGACACGTAACAACGCTAACCTTATACTATTATAGACTCTCTAATAGAGACTTTAGATTCTACTCTACTAATATAGACTTGTAAGAATACATGTATTAGGAACGTAAAGGCTAGGCGTAACTATATAACTAAAGCTAAGGCTAAAAGTAATAGTAATAAGAGAAATACTTCTAGAGTGTAAGGCCTAAAATCACAGCAGTCTCTAATATAAACTAGAGTATCTATTACAGATGCCCCTTATATAGATAGTAGTAGTATAGGAGAGCTAAATAATAGTAATAGTAATAATAGCGTCTAGGTTTATAGACAATTACAACGTAAGAGGGTCCTAACTATATAAGTTAAATAATATATATATATAGTATTAGTATATATAAATAATATTATATAATATTACTATATATCCTACACTACACAAGCTTACTATATTATACTACCCCTTTACTACTATATATAATATAGTATATACAATAATATATATATATGCCTAACTTTAAACTAATATACTACTAAAAAAACCTATAATATATATAGTGTAAGCAACTAACTTGCCCTAGAATATTTATAACGTGGAGTATAATCTTTAGTAATACTACTACACTATAATATAGGAGTATTATTGCAATAGGCGCCTTTATAGAACTTACTAACCTATTATTATAGGATATTTTAGATTATAATTTTATATACTAGGTATACTACCTAGTCTCTTAGTTATTATTATAGCGTACCTAGGTAGTAGTATGCTACACGCCTATACCGCCTAGGTATCTACTAGTACTGCTTCCTGTATAGTAACCCTACTAAATTATGCCTACCGCGTGCCCTCTATCTACACTAAATTTTCCCCCTAGGTGCTATATATCTGTCTACTACATAACCTATAATTAGGTATATTATATAAACTATGTTTAAATAGACGCTAAAGTTAATATATATAATACTAATAATACATAAACTAAAAAGTAGTTTACCTTTGTAGAATACATAGTATAGTAAACCCTATTTAGGTTTACTTCTTATACTTAAACTACTTCGTGGTCTACTTTAGATAAATATGGCTACTGTAAACCGGTTTTGTACCGTAGTGTATGGAAGAACACCAAACTGCTCCTAGATACCTTTCTGCTTTGATGAGTGACATCATCTGTAGGGCAAGGTAACACGAAAATACACATGCACGCTAGGTACCGACCTAACCTCGACACTAAAAGATAGCCATCACATGGCTAGGTCTAGATAGGCCCAGAAGCTCTTCTTCGAATGCTCACATCTCAGATTCATTATGCACGATACAAACCTACATGCGGGATTATAAAATTACTAGGGAGAGGGATATTTTCAATCATGGGATGTAGGATACTCAGGTCATATGGAGTGCCTGAGTCTACTCCTAGGCGAATGACTCGAACCCCCTGACCTCAACGTCTACTACCATATACGCATGAGTGGAGCTCTATAAGGTCTCGGTATGCCCTCTTGCGCTATGGATATTCTACTTGTATGCATCGCTCGCACTGCTTCTGCCTCTTCCGTAACACGTTTGTCATTTTCCCTTCGTCCGCCGTCCGCCACTAATGCGTTCGTATAGTGGCTCTTCATAAGGGAACCACTCCTCCCTCTCGACGAGAAAGTACATTCTGACCACTGTATATGCCGGTATAAAACGGCCGGGAAAGTGCCATAAAAGATCATCGTAAGTCTCCCTATTGTAATGAATTTGCGGAGATTCGGATGTTCGTGAAGTTGCGAGCTGTTCACATATTGGATGAGATCAAGTAACCGATTGGGTTTAAACGGAAAGATGCCGTTACTTGTGGCATCGTTGCCGTTGGTAACCCCTTGAAGACAATTATCAAGACCCCTCTCCACAAGGAACTGTCTGATCTCAAGTCTTGAAAGAGCAGCAGATATATGAACGATTTGCCAAACGCGAAGATCACCGAGGAATACTCTCATTAATATGGAGTTATTGGATTTGGTATCCGACAGAAATAAACCATAAGACGCAACTTAAGATCTTCAAATGACCGACAGTAAGTCGATATTAAGTTACGATTGTAATGGGCTGTTCAAATAGCTTGGGATCTTAGTTTCGTTCATCTGGTTAGAGTTATTCATGGAGATTTGCTAAAAATGTATTACTAGATGAATATTTAACGCAATTGAGCATGAGATCGTGTAGGCAGATGCAAGAGCGGCACATTAGATGACTGTGTCTGAAAAGGCAAGATCTTTCGGTAACAATATGCTTGGAGCACACTTTGACGACGCGCATAGTATTTCATTGACTAGTGGTCAGGTGGTACCGATGATGGCAAGACATGGTTAATCCATTAGGTTGTAAATGCAGTGTGCAGCCAGTTCGCTTTGATAGCTGCCCTCGTTTGCGTCGCCACGGGTTGAAGTGCAGATGTCAAGACTGTTGTTGGAAGCACCAATCGTCCCTATTTATGCCCTTCGCTGCTCTAACGAGGATACTAGGACCGATCTGAATTAGTCTCCATTAGCACAGACTTGCTAGATGATCATGAATCCAAACACCGATTTCGGATGGACATGACGTTACCGCTGGATCCCCACCAGAGAGCCTTGATTGTTTGTATCACTAGCACAATTCTGCTGCCAACTCATTACGGAGCCAATGCAACTAGATTACGACGCTCATCATCTACCAGCTATCTTTGGCTTGTATTATCAACATTTTTATTCCGAGCATTTTCGCCCTGGCCTTCCAATATCGGACTTCGCCACCATGGTCCGCTCGTAGAGCAGGACTCATTGGCTCAAACAATAATAGGCATTACTACCAATATGCTTGACTAAAGATTGACTGTCGCAAAAGAAATTACCTCTACTATACCTGCGTCAAACATAACAGCCAAAAACTACATCGACCTTCTTTCACCCGACGAATTGCTACTGTCCTCGTATATCTAATACACAGGAACATTGACTATTTCATGCATTCAGAGACCCATTAAAACATCTCCCTCGATGCCATCTCATGTCGTCAACTTGGAGGGGTCTACAGGATCCGTACGACCACCTTGTACCACTGTGGCCACATCTCACCACCCAAAACTCCGGACCTGGGCTCAGCTCCACCATAAACATGCAACCGTGAGCCAGGTACGCGTGATACAGATCCGCAGCACCCCTATCTCTTTCTAGCCACTATAACCTCCCATTCGCTCATTCTCCTCTCTCAGCTTCCCTTGCGCTCTATTTCGGTCTCTGCGTGTGCGAAACCGAAGGAACAGCCGAAGTTTCCCTGAGGCAGCAAACGGTAATAATTCGCAGCACTTGCAGGGCCGCGACAGCCTAGGTTCCGGACTTGATAAAAATGGGATGACGAATATGCATATGCATGTGCAGTTTGCCCGATGGGCGAACATGATGTGGCCTCTTCAAGCACTCAAATCGCCTGCTTGCAAAAGCGGTCCCGATAAAGCCCCCCCATTCAAATACTCGGTTTCAATGCAATCTCCGGACGTGAGGCTTGCTGTTGAGCGTCATTGACAATGTGTGACCGCCAAATTCAGTACGCAGATACGCTCGTTTCGCCGCAGAGTCAGGGGACGATTCTGATGATGCTGGCGTGGTTCTTTGCATGCCTACTCGTAAGGTTATCGCTACACTGCTTGTTTTCTGGGGACTGACAGCATCTTCTTCTAGGCTCTTTGCACAGTAACCCGAATTATTGCGAGATACAAATTGAGACGCCATCCACAATTTCCAGTATCCGACGATGCTATCGTTGTCACAGCCGCGCTATGTGCGCTGGGAAGCACGCTCGTCATATCGACTGCCGTCGACTCTGGCCTTGGAAAACTGCAGTGCCTTTTAGACTCGACTGACATCGACCGCATTCAGGTGAAGATCTTTGTTGCGACGATACTATCTGTACTAGCGCTTAGCATCCCGAAATGCTCAGTACTGATCTTCTTCTATCGGGTGGCCCACAGCACACTGCAGAGGATAGGAGTCGTCACCCTAGGCTGCCTGGTACTACTCTGGACCATTGCTGTCATCTCAGGCACTGTATTCCAGTGTGCAATGCCACAGCCTTGGACGATCTGGACGGGCAAGTGCATTCCCCTAGTAAGTACAGACACCTCTATTCTTCTCAATTTCCCTAACATGTAAAGGCCACATTCCACATCACCACCACAATCGCAAGCACCATCCTCGACACCACATTGCTTCTGATTTCACTGCAACTCACATGGACCCAAACCACAAGCTACCACTATAAAACCCTCGCATCATTCCTCCTTTCCCTCCGCCTCCTGTAAGTCCTCCCCCCGACCCCCGAAAACTCCAAACTCCAAACATACCAACAAAATACACTCAAGTCTCATCGCAACCTCCATCCTCACAGCAATCTATACGCCAGCCGCCTACTCCCGCACCACCACCCAAGTCCAAACCCTCTCCTACATCCCTTATGCTATCTTAACAATGACACACACCACCCTCGCCCCCCTCCTCTCATACACCCTTATCCTCACTCCCCTACGTTCCCTCCTCTCCCCTAAACCCCAGTCCCATCAACGCCACCACCACCACCACCACCACCACAAAAAAACCCCCTCAGACACTACCACCGGCAGTAGCACGACAACCACAACCCCCACCCCCACAATCACAAAAGAACCCCTCCCCTCCATTCAAGCCTCCATGTCCCATCCCAACTTGCCCTCACGCTCGCGCTGGAGCGGCGACGAGGACGAGTTGTTACCGGAGGTGCGGCTGCCGGTGGCGAAGCCGAGGGGGAATAAGCCCAGGAGGCCGCCGCGTCCGAGTGAGGCGCAGAGACCGGATTTGAGCATGTTTACTATGAGGTGTGGGGAAGGGGGAGGGGGGAGGCTGGTTACGAGGGTAGGGGAGGGTGTGAGGAGTGAGGGGGGGTTTTGAATGATGGGGTGGTGATTCTTGGAGGAGAGGAGGGGTGTGGATTGATTTGTTGATTATGGTCTTGGTTATGGTGTTTTGCATAATGTTTTCTTTTAATTTTTATTTGTTATCATGCCTAGGTTGCGTAGGGTGTCTGTCTGATCATCTCGCTATTTAGGCCGACAGGTTGACTTCTCCGTGCATTACTGGAGTAGCCTGCCGAGACAACAGTGACTCCCATATACGAAGTCCGCAAGAGGACTCTAGTGATTTCGCAAAGAAGCCGCAGCAGATGCATTCCTCCACCAAGTTCCACTGCCTGCACTCAGGCATTCCATCTCCATGCCGCCCTCTCCCGTACGTGATCCTTTCTCCTGTCCTTCTCTGGTATGTATGAGTCTTATAACCACACTAGATCCTTCTGTTCCACGCGTTGTAAAATAGGTTTAGACTATCCCACAAAAATTAGCAAGTACGGCTCATGGTGTAGTTAAAGTTATCGCAACCAAGAGAGTACGGTGGGCCATTTCTCCAATCAAGAGAGTGCAGTCTCAGTGTTGACTGACTTTTAAGACTGACTATTCCATGATTAACATGAAGCCTCAAATTATTGCTGCTCAATTGACCATATTTGAAGCCGATGACATATGGTCGGGCGGTAGGTGTTTTGGAATATGAAGCCTCGATGACCATGCCCTCACCATTGATACAAATTTCGGGAATATGCGAGCGATCAGGTATTCTGTAGGGCCCTCGGATACTGCACCGTACCTTTCGTGTTCCGCAACGTTCAAAAGAAGCGGGTATAATTGGGCTTGTACCGTAGCAACTGGGATTGTTGAAGATATTCTCCAACTTCCTGCTCCACGAGAACATCCCAAAGTGATTTGTATAGTCGGCCCGCTGGCACCTTTCAATTGGCAGAGTACTAGGCTCATCGGCCATTTGATATTTGTCCGCAGATCAGACAATTTGGTTGGTGAATCTAGAACAAATTCGAATAGGATCATAATCCAGTTCCGGTTTTGGGTACCCCACGCAATAGAATCCAGGCGATCAAGTCGTTACACTCATGGTCATTTGTCAAGTCTCGGGAAAAGCCGTGTTGATCAGAGTTCATCCTGACTGTGATGTGCTTCATCTTGACGATTATGTTGCGTGTACACGCAGTACGGATTCCCGATCCAAACTGATGGCGTGGGTATCGATTGACATGCGTTGTGCCTAGATCCAGCCCGTTTCGTGTCCGTTTTTCGAAGTCCAGAGTTTCCGGCTCTGACACAGAAGTGTTTATCACTAATTCGAATGAGTACCGTATGTGATCTGGTAAGGCTTCCAATCCTGCAGAACATTCATCTAACAGTAACACAGAATCACTGGTGTTCTGTGCAGATCTTTTAAAGAGGGGCTCATAAAGTGATAGGCTTGCACGTCATACATATATTGTCAACGTTCGCATCCAAACAGGTTGCTTGAGCTTGCTGGCTCTCGCTGGCATCATTCCATGTGGGCGGTTGCTGTGCTGCGCCACAGATTGCGGCGTAATAGCCGGCACAGCCACAGCGCCAATCCAGACAGCCCGCAGGTGCAATGGGACATTTGTTGTTGACGTAGAGCGGAGTACGTTTAGCGCCGCGACTCCAGGAAAACCAGCTTGGCTCTCCTGGCGGGTTGCGCCTTCCATAAGAAGCGCCCCTCTATCCCTATCCTCTTGTCGTTCTCGGTACACAAAGATCGAAAGACGATAACCCCTCCTCTCTCTTCTCTCTCTCTCTCTCCCTCTCTCTCCCTCTCTCTCTCTCCTCCTGCTCCTCCCTCTCCCCTTACAGGCTACTCTTCACCAACATAATCACCCCTCTCCTCCAAGTCCCTCCAACGAAACCTCCTACCCTCTCCTCTCCACTGCAAAAACAGTATACCCCTCCGCGAGCACGCTATCCGCCATCATGAGCGGCCGTGGCGATCCTCGCTTGCTCTACACGGTTGGAGGCATCAAGGCCTACCACATCCAGCAAGGCGAAGAATCGTCCCTTACTCCTTCGGGCCCGCAGACGTTGTCGCTGTTGATGGTCCCTACCAGCTCGCCTTTCGCCGACCTCAGTAACACACGAGGCCAGAATGAAGCACCCGAGGAAGACTTCTACCTACACCTCAACCTCCCTCCAGAACTCTTCCTGGTACGGGTTTCGGTCTTTGTAAACGCAGTTGAACTGTA